TCCTTTTCAATTTCGATTCTATTAGTATGATTTCGAGACACGACATCCATTTTCTTACTTTTAATGAAATATGGCATATGAAAGAATATCTATTAGGAGAATTTGGCTAGCATATGACGAAAGTCCAACAAATGTCTGAAATCTTGAACTTTTGAAATAAAATATTTCTGAGAAAACTCCCAATAAAATGGAAAAGGTAGACAACAGTTAATATGGTAATGAAATATTAAAACTGCAGCTTTGGAACACTTTAAACGATGAGATAATATGGTTTTTTATTAGGAGGGGTCTATAATTATGTTACAGGCATTTTCCAGTTTTCTCCCATTTTTTTCTTCAAAGAACAAGAGATAAAAGAGAAATGCTAGAGTATCAGATAGTCGTAATTAGTCTCACATAGATGTGCAGCCAGCAGATCAATATCATTCCTTATTATAATAAAATAAACATTTTTCTATGTACATATCAGGGGGGGGGGGGGGGGCTATAATTATGCTATACCCTGTATGTCAGCAATGTGTGTATACTTTTTATAGAAAACTTATCAGTAATATATCTCTAGTTTTTGTGGGAAAATTCTACTCTCCTCGTTGAAAGATAAATAACCAATGTGTCTCTACTTCTTATAAAGAAAAAATCAACAATATATCTCATATTTGTCGTGAGCAAATAATAATATATTATTCTGTGTGTTACTTAAACTGCATATTATATTTTACATTATAATATAGAGACGAAGAAAACAAAAAAAAAAGACAGATAGTCTTGATTATTGTTAACTTGTGGCAGTTTTCTATCAAATACAATACTATATCTTCCTTTAGATTGAAGAAAGACCAGATCTCTTAATATTAAGACAGGAGTATGAAAATCAACTTGCTGCTAGCAATAATCCTTCTTCTAATTCGTCAGTCGAGTAAGTATTAAGTACACTGTTTTTCTAGCGTTAGCTCTAATTTTGTTGTGAAATTTTTCCAGCTATAGCACTAAAAACCACTGATTCCAAAGTGGATAGAACAGATTCAAGTTATGGAACAGGTATTGTTAACACACAAATTCATACTATTGTTGACTACTACGGGCAACAAATATATATCTACAAGTCACTCTCAAATGATCCGAAAAATCTAATCTACTATTACGTTCCAATCATGTTTCCAAAGAAGAGACTAAACACTAATTGGATTTGGACTTCTGGCAGAGGCGAACTACGTCTAAATGTCATGTTTGGTAATGATGAAATTGACGATATGGCACGAAAAAAAGTTATTAAAACAGGAGAAAATGGAACATTTGAAGTGGCTCCACTCATCATCGATTCATTTTCAGCCTTCGTTGTTGGTGCAAATAATAAGCCGGTGCCTGGCGTACACCCATTTCGCAGAATACACCCCAATGATAAAACAATGACAATTAGATTTGAATGTTCATCGGAAGTCATTGCTCAGAAAGTCAAGTCACGTGTCATCGATGGCGATTACGATGTAGAATTTGCATTCTTCTTTGCTGGTCTCAACAAAGTCTCAACAAGTATGGTGTCAGTCACTAGTGATTCATTAAAAAGTGTTCTCTCAAAAACAACAGCTGATGGCGGAAATACAAACGTAACTTATATTCATAGAGGCCAGGCCAATAAATTTGTTTCAAGCTATATGGCCAACGTTAGAAAGATGATTTACAAAGAAGATCCAAAGTCGAACACATCCAGTTTAACTGCTGGATTGGAAGAGCAATTCGCTTCGCTAATACAGCAAGGTCAGCAGCTTCTTAAAACTAGTTTGATATGTTTGAGACCAGATTTGTAACCAAAAGAAAAAGCTTTGATGCATTTTGTGTCCATATTTCATTTCTTCGTTTAGGCATGGATAACTCAAAACAAGAGAAATTAGATCTGAATATGTATGATCAAGTTTGGTCTTCTAGTGACTTAAATCCTGATCGTCTTACTTCGGAACTCAATAAAATCTTCACTTATAATCAGGCTGAAACTAATTATCGTAATACAAGTGATAAATACTATGACTTTAATGAAGAATATGCCAAATCATTGGCAACGTCAGCAGCATATAAAAGCTCAGCTAGTATCGTTGGAATTGCATCAGGAAGTATGGAGATATCTGCATCAGTTAATATGGCTGAATCGGGTGCTACCGGAAAAACAACGCATGATGTTATCTCTTTGGCAGATATTAAAAAATATCTTGATCAGAAGTCGATAGAAACTGAATGGAAAGGAGAAAAGATTATACCAAAATCATTTCAAGTTTATAAACTGACAGATATCACTGACAATCTACAAGTTGCTCTAATGGCAATAGAATTGATAGCTGAGAAAACGCATAATGCAATGATACGAACAATCAGCACATTAAACCTGCCTCCAACATTCGGTGGATTGATACAAGCAAGCGTCGTTCAATCATCTACATGTATGATAGGTGAAATTCGATTATATTCAGCTGACACTCATCCCCCTTATCCTTGGCTTATCTGTAATGGAACTGCAATTTCACGTGTTGAATATCAACGACTCTTTTCTGTTATCGGTGAATCATTCGGAGCTGGCGATCGGAAAACAACGTTTAATGTGCCTGACTTTCGCGACCGTTTTCCACTAGGTCTCAATCCAATCGGAAATCGAGTAGGCAGCTGGGGAAAAGGAGGAAATAAAGAACAGACACTCACAATTGATCAAATGCCTACTCATCACCATAGTGCTGGTACACTAAACACTACCGATGCAGGCAGGCATAAACATACGGTCAATGATCCAGGCCATAATCATGGGGGTCAAACGGGAGAATTCACACGTGAATACAGCGTCTACCATGACGATCACTTCGGAAGGGGCGACCGGGGTGCATCGTGGGGTATGCGCAATGTAACCCATAGACACCATATTCCGGTAGGAGGAACTGGAATAACCCTCGACAATGATGGCACTCATCTTCATTCAATTGGAGGATCAACAGATTCGGTTGGTCGTGGTAATTCATTCAGTATAATGCCACCTTATCAGACAATTGCTTATATCATTTTCACTGGAGCGGATTGTGCTTGAGGTGTCGCTATGCCTGTAAACCTCCCTTTCACTGGCACCCGTACCCGAATAGATCATCTTCTTGTGAGCTTTCAATAATATATTATAGGATTTTAAGAAATCCTTTCGATTCTCATTGAAACTAGATGCAGATTCAGGAGCCGCCTGATGAGTCCTTTGAGCAAGCACGAAATTCGAACCGGGTGTGAGGTGTGGGTGTGGGTGTTGAGTGTTGGTGTGATTGCCAGGTATATCCATACACACGCGCACACCCACCCTTACGAGTAATCTATAATTTACAACTTCTAAATATAGAAGGCATAAACTTCTGTTGATTCAAGGTTTATTACTGATTCAAAGGCAAAAAAAAGGAAGCCTGTAATGAATCATCAATGAAATATTTCACATTGCACTCAAACTACTAGTAAAAAAAGGCATTTAGTTAAAATAAAAGAGCAATAGTAGAAAAATGAAACTGCGATCAACACCTATTTTTTTTGCACTCATTCAGATGGCTATTCAAGCACTTGTCGATCCTCATCCGTTAATCTGTGAAAAACACCAGTCTTCTCTCTCAACTTCATCCTCAAAGTATGCTCAAACCGTCATTAGTCGTGATCCACATGGTTCTCTATCAGTTTCCTGGGAAATCGGCATTAAAATCACACTAAATAATGCTTCACAATGCCGAGTTAATCTTCCACTAAATGAATCAAAAGAGAAATGTAACACTGGTAAATTGGTTACATCGTGGAATACAATACTTTTAAAAGAACCGTTGAGATATGAAAGAGATGCAACAAATAGATTTTTTGCACAAAACATCTACGTGATATCATTAACGGAGAAAGCAAGTGCTGTGGTACTCATAGGGTGGGTGTGGGTTTAGAATTTATTGCTGGCCAGAACCCCACCCACACCCCTGAATAGATTACGCGATTTCTTCAATCTTGGGAATGCAACTTGGTCAAAACACGAGATTCTGACATCAATTGAGCTAATGTTGTCTAATTATTGAATACAAATTTCAATTACAGGAGAGAAACGTTGCGATGACGACATTTAAAGGAAGAGCGTTTTGATCCATGAAATTTCCCTAGGGAAAATCTTTGATGTTTCAGCCCCGGATCCTTGGAAGATAGGATCAAGATCCTGCAAGGATTCGATGTTTTTTCCTGAGGAAACGACTAAATCCTGAAAGAAGCGTGTAGCCACGGAATTGCAGGATCCTGTCAAGATTTAAAACAAGTTTATCAAGGATCCTGGCAAGTTTATCACTGTTTTTGAACCAGGATTAAGCCAGGAAATCGATGANCTCACCCTTACCAAAGATAACATTCGTATGTAGCTCGCCTCTGGCAGTAGTCCAAATCCAATTAGTGTTTAATTTCTTCTTTGGCACCATGATTGGAACATAATTATCTATTTATGTTTTTGAGGAGCTATTATTTATTGAATCTTGTAGAAAATTTCACAGGCTGTCTTTTGAAAAACAAATTCAAGTCAAACAATCAGAAAATAAGACAGATATTCACAAAATACAGAAAGAGTAACTTTTTATAGAGAAAAGTATTTTACTTAAACTACATATTATATTTTATATTATAATATAGAGATAAAGAACACAAAAACAAAAGACAGATAACCTTGATTATCGTCTACTGGTAGCAATTTCCTACCAAATACAATACTATATCTTCCTTAAGATTGAAGAAAGAATTAATCTCTTAATATTAAAACAGGAGTATGAAAATCAACCTGCTGCTAGCAATAATCCTTCTTCTAATTCCTCAGTCGAGTAAGTATCAAGTGTACTGTTTTTCCCATCGTTAGCTGTAATTTTCTATTGAAATTTTGCTAGCTATAACACTGCCGACCACTGATTCCAAAGTGGATAGAATAGATTCAAGTTACGGAACAGGCATTGTTAACACACAAATTCATACTATTGTTGACTACCACGGACAACAAATCTATATCTACAAGTCACTCTCAAATGATCCGAAAAACCAAATCTACTATTATGTTCCAATCATGGTTCCAAAGAAGAAATTAAACACTAATTGGATTTGGACTACTGCCAGAGGCGAGCTACGTCTCAATGTTATGTTTGGTAATGATGAAATTGACGATATGGCACGAAAAGAAATTGTCAAAACAGGAGAAACTGGAATATTTAAAGTGGCTCCGCTCATCATCGACTCATTTTCAGCCTTCGTTGTTAGTGCAAATAATCAGCCGGTGCCTGGTGTACACTCATTTCGTAGAATACATCCCAATGATAAAACAATGACAATTAGATTTCAGTGTTCATCGAAAGTCATTGCTAAGACAGTCATGTCACATATCATCAATGGCGATTACGAAGTAGAATTTGCATTCTTCTTTGCTGGTCTCAACAAAGTCTCAACAAGTATGGTGTCAATTACCAGCGATTCATTAAAAAATATCCTCTCAAAAACAAAAGCTGATGGAGGAAATACAAACGCCGCTTATATTCATAGAGGCCAGGCAAACAAATTTGTTTCTAGCTATATGGTCAATGTTAGAAAGATGATTTATAAAGAAGATCCAAAGTCGAACACATACAGTTTAACTGTTGGATTAGAAGAGCAATTCGCTTCACTAATGCAGCAAGGTCAGAAGCTTCTTATAAGTAGTTTGATACGTCTGAGTCCAGATTTTTAACGAAAAGAGAAAATTTTGATCCATTTTGTGTCCATGTTTCATCTCTTCTTTTAGCCATGGATAACTCAAAACAAGAGAACTTAGATCTGAAGATGTATGGTCAAGTTTGGTCTTCTAGTGACTTGAATCCGGATCGTCTTACTTCGGAAATCAATAAAATCTTCACTTATAATCAGGCGGAAACTAATTATCGTAATAAAAGTGATAAATACTATGACTTTCATGAAGAATATGCCAAATCATTGGCGATGTCAGAAGCATTTAAAAGCTCAGCTGATGTCCTTGGAATTCTATCAGGAAGTATGGATATATCTGCATCAGTTAATAAGGCTGAATCGGGTGCTACCGGAAAAACAACGCGTGATGTTATCTCTTTGACAGATATTAAAAAATATCTTGATAAACATTCGATAGAAACTGAATGGAAAGGAGAAAAGATTATACCGAAATCATTTCAAGTTTATAAACTGACAGATATCAATGACAATCTACAAGTTGCTCTAATGGCAATATAATTGACAACTGAGAAAACGAATAATGCAATGATACGAACACTCAGCACATTAAACCTACCTCCGAACTTCGATGAATTAACACAAACAAGCACCATTGAATCATCTACATTCGGTGGATTAACACAAAAAAGCACCATTGAATTATCTACATTCGGTGGATTAACACAAACAAGCACCATTCAATCATCTACAGCTGTGACAGGTAAAATTCGACTATATTCAGGGTGAGGTTGTGAGAGCGAGGGTTAAGGTGAGACTGTGGATGAAGGTTACATGAGAGTGAGGAAGGACGGTGAGGCATAGGGGTTCCCGTTCCTAGGAACCCGATGCGGATTCTTGTTCTTATGAATGGAACCCGGAAGTGACACCCCTAGCTATGAAAGAAAGATAGAAAGTAAATAATAGAGAAGTGCGCAAACTGGATTGGTTGGAAATTATCTGCTTCATATAGCGTCATGCAAAGTATTATTTTGGCGGAAAGCTATATCTATCACATGATACAAGTATGAAAGGATTGAGACTCCATCTCATTCAATGAGAAACCATGCAAATTTTGAACTTTCTCGCCTTGTCAGTTCTCTTTGGTGTAATTACAGTACAGACCTGTTTGAAAAATTGTACGTCACTATGCCATTAAGCAATGTGATTTTTCTTTGAGGTCGAAACACAACCTTGGGAAATAGCACCAATTTGATTTAATTAGCCATTAATTACCCCAATGTTCTGACTAACGTGATATTTTAACACCTACAGTTGTTCATCGTATTAAGCGTCGATGGTCTTTTTTAAATGTAAGTCGGAACGAAACAATGTATCGAAATGTTTCACGACATTTTATGTAAATAATATCGTGAATATCAGAGGAAGTCGTATCAACAATGGTACAGGGTGTCCCCAAAGTCCGGCGGGAGAAAAAAACTTGAATATTTTCATCATTTCTTAACTAAACTTCACTGTTATTTTTTTTGTTTGAACGAGAAACGTTCCAAGTTTTATTGCATACGATTGGAAGTTTTTGTTAATATTTTAAAGAAGGCTTGGGTTTATTATGGTGAAATTCCGGTTTTTCAGAACTTTTTTAAAATAAATTATTTACTGCGAAAGTTTTTGACTGAAACATGAATAGTTTTTAATATTAAAATAAAGTAGAGGATTCCCACTTTCATATGAAAATATATATATATTCGCTTTTTTTTAAGAATAGCTGGACGGTGTGCACTTCTTCAGCCACAGTTGTTGCATACTAGCATCTGGGAATTGCAAAAAAAAGTAATATCATTTTTTTTAGCCAAAATTAAGTAGTAAAAGGAAAAGTTACAAGTGGGATTTCATAGAAAGAAGATAGTTCAACGAACTGAAACAGTTTGACAATCTGTAATAAGGTCTCTCACGCTATAGAAGAAAGCGGAATCTGTAGATTATGTTAATATAGGAAAACTTACTACTTTTGGCAAAACTTTAAGTTAAATAAAACATCTGAATGTATGGAATTGTAGAGCAAACCGAATTCTACAAAATGAGACTTCGAACAACTCTGGCAAAGATTCCGTTCAATTGCGACAAGTTCCATAGTTTTTACTCACTTTTATAAGTACGTTTACAGAAGACATCCATTGCAAGATGTATTATTTTTCTGTACTAACGTATTTTATACAAAAACTTCTAACCATGTGAAATAAAACTTCGAACGTTTCTCTATCAAGCAAAAAAACAACCGTTAAGTTTATTTAAGAAACAACGAAAATATTCCAGTTTTTTTTCATGCCGGACTTTTGGGACACCCTGTATATGGAAATGATTCTGGTTGATCTAGAAGGAGAGAGTGAGAGAGAGAGAGTGAGAGAGACTCACCCACTGTATAATAGCATCAATTTAATATAGCGTTGTTCACTTTGAAATGCTTGAAATGTTGATGAGTATCGAACAGCTCGTACAAGGGCCGTTTTTATAATATTATCAAAGACATGTCGAGAATGATCGGATATAAATGAGACAACATCAACATAAGGTTCAGCAGTTGGTTTATGGTAAACAGATGTAGATAAAATACCATGATTATTAGTAAGAAGAACATCAAGAAATGATAGACTTTGACTAATTTTATAATCTAATTTAATATTTGGATGCCATGTATTTGCATCTTTTAATAGATCTCTTAATTGTTGTTTTGACCCTATTCAAGGTCATAAAAATATCATCAATATATCTACGAAGAGAATGATCTTTGAAAAAAGAAAAAACGAGTTTCTATCTATCTAGTGCACTTACTAACCAAAACATTCTCCTGATATCTCTTGTTGACGAACAAATTCTTGTTGCCATTTTCACATAAAAATCTTGGCTAGTGTTAATGTGAATGATGAACCCATGGCATCACCAAGAGTTTGTCGATAAATTTTCTTACCATACACAAAAACATTTTCTTCCAAAACAATCGAAGCTAATTCTCTTATTGTTTTGACATCAATTTTATTCACTGCTGTTTTGCCATGTATTTTAAGAAATTCTACCAGAATATCTAATGCTTGATCTTGTGGTAACATTGTATATAAATTACGAATATCGAAAGTACAAAAAAAAAGAGTTGATGATTTTAAAAGACTTTTCTTCTGATATTTTTTAAGTTCATTAATTAAATGAGTACCATCAACAATGGTTGTTTTACGGCATTGATCATTGAATACAGGTGCAATAATTTCATGTAAAAAATCTGAAATCTTCTTTGTAATAGCACGCATCGTATTTTCAATAGGTCTTACTGGTATACCATCCTATATATATATATGAAGAAAAGAAATTATATAATTTGTTTTAGAATTAAAGAAAACGATTCTTACACTGAAAAAAAGGTGTCAAACGAAACCTTTCAGGTTTCGTGGAGCTTTACCATATACTGTTAGGCATCGTACAAGTGCACGAAATCTCTTGAAAGTTTCGTAAAGTACTAGGTTCCGTATAATAACCCTTTTGAGCTTTCATTACCGAAATGGTTTCGTAAGAAACCTCTGACAGGTTTCGCAGTCAAAAGGTTTCGTAAGAAACTATTTCCTTTTCCTATTTCATCTATGCCACAGACAGATATTCACCAATCAGAAAGCCAATCAATCTGAATTTTCGTGTCCATTTATCTATTTATCAATTACTTTGCAATTGACTTCATATATTTTATCGCTGTTGTCTCGAATCATACCTTTTCATATGAAGACTCTTCTTGAAAAAAAAGACAGAAGGCTTCTATAATGTCGCAACGATCTCTAACATTTTACCGAAAGAAATATAACACCTGCCTGCTCAACACCATCTTTGTGCCTACTCCATGAATCACTATACTTATCAGTTTTATCATAGTATTCTCCTTGTCTACTATTCGCAAGCATTCATGATCCATATCGCTGGCCTTTTCGTACGACAAACGATTACTTATAAACAAATTTGTACTCTTTATATATTTATCTTTGTCTCACATTGTCTTCACAGAGATCGTGTTAGTTAAGAACATTACAACATTTAGTCATTTTCAATTTGACGTATACTATGACAGTATACATAGAGACATACATATAGATATCCGAGTCCAAACACAAACATAAATAAGGAATGCCATAGACTACGTTGGTTCCTACATGTATTGACAGCTGAGAACCATGTATCAGGTTAGCAATAATTATAGACGGTTAGATATAAATACATATCCTATTAATAAACATAAAGATTTCAATGTATCAAAACTCGTAAAGTCACAGCTAAAAGTATTGAAATATAGAAATAACGGTTACGCCATATATTTAGGGATTTACGTATAGAAATAAGGGTTAAGATACCACTAGAATGATTGTGGTACAGATATAACGAAAGAGATAGAGATAAGAAGATTTAAATACAGACACACGTCTGTACGGATATATATAACAGTCTAAATAATCCTTACAAAGTATGATCAAACGTAGTCTATGGCATTCGTATTGTATTGGTAAAATGTTAGAGATCGTTGCGACATTATAGANATCTGAGCCAGCAACCGATTTTTCAAAATTTTTAAATTTATTTTTTTTGAGTTGAGGAAGGGGCCAATATCAATATCGACCAAAACCAAATGGCATTCGTATTGTATTGGTATTGTTACATCCCTAGACATAAATATAAGGATTTCTCCAGTTATAATGATTAACGCATGGATATAAAGGTTAAGGCATATATATAAGGGTTAAGATTATTTATAAGGGATAATATATCGTTATAAGAATTAAGACATAGATATAACAGTTAAGGCATAGTTATAAGGATCAAAAATATAGATTATAAGGATTAAGGTATAGTGAAAGGATAGTGCGGCTACCTCAATGGCACGCGCAATAGAAATGCAAACCAGAGTCGGCAGCAGTAATGGAAACAGGATGATGACTCAACAACGATTTCGATATCAAGATCTTGAGGGTGAGGGTGAGTCTAGCTACCAAGATTTGTTTCGATCCGGCAAAGGATATCATTAGTTGGTTTTGAATTCATCTTCATTCAGATGATCGCTAAGATCACAAATAAGAAAGGGTGTGAGTCTAGCAACCATTATCGCGATTTCATCCCTGCTAAGGGAATCATCAGATGGCTTCGACTTTGTAACTATTCGAATGATCCGATTAAAATCATAAATAAGTTACATAATCTACTGAAATTTTCAACAAAATACTAAAAAAGAATACAGTTGGAAGAAGTAGATATCCGTAAAACAGTGGTGAGTCTAGCAACCATACTGAAAAAAGTGCCATACGAAATCTAGATAAGAGTAGTTCTTTCTCACCCTCAAGATGGCAATAGATGGATAAAAATACGAGCAGCAGTTCATACATTCATTCAAGCAA